TCTTCGGCATATACAAAAATGTCTCATTTCCGTGATATTGAACGAATACAAATAATAATTTATACTATAATAAGATATGAAAGTAGATCAAGAAAAGATGATAACTCGGACGAGACAGAAAAGAAAACGACAAACAACAACAGAACATTTTTTTGTACAAAACTCAATCCTGTGTTGTATTTGAAGATTTTTTCAACTAAAACATATTTAAATAAAAAGAGATGAACAAGAGAATGCATAGCTCTTATTTCATCCAGGACTAGTGTAGAAGCAGACATTCTGGAATTTATTCTTCATTTTGCAGCAAAACATGCGCCACCTCTCTAAAGTGAACATCTTCCATAGTGAACACTTTTTGGACGGTCCAATGGTGTTCACAATAGAGAGGTTTTGCTGTATATATCTTCTTTTCCATTTCTCAAATAGAGACTGAGACTTAGTAACAGAGCGACATTCTCATGCAGTTGTTAGTGGATGCTCATAGCTACTCTTCATGGAGTTTGTTAGTCATCAAGAAAAAGAAGACAAATAAACAAACAAGAAAAACATTTTTTGGCTGTTGAAGTTGAATTGAAATAAACTTTACACTCAAATGGAACAGAAGAAGCAGAAAACTCTCGATTCTCTTTTTGACAGTTCTGCTACTAAAAAGTAAAAAAATAACCCTGATGTTGCTTCTTCTTCTAATTAAATTTCGCGGTAAAGTCGCATTTCGCTAATAGACATTCAGTATAATGTCAGTTGGCGAATGTCCACACGACATTCTTCGTAATTGACGAATGTCTCATTGGCGTCTGTTGGCGAAAGTTGGGTTGCCGAACTGCGACAAATCCAGTTTCACCCGTAAATGATGAAAATTTAAATAGTGCACAATCGTTGCTCTGCTCATGTTCGTCGACAGTTAAAACAACTGAATCTACACTTTCAGTACCTACCAGAGGCGGCGGAACCACTAGGCTGGGTAAGGCTTAAGCTTTACCCGGATTTGCCTCTGTTAGGCTGAGCCTTACACTATTTTGATGTAGAATTTTGAATTTAGCACTATGTTATTTAGATAATACTTGGCTACATTGACAGAAAGGCCTCATTTATCTGAATAAAAGATCAAAAGATGTTTGGCTGCGTGTATTAAACTCTGCTTTTTTTCAGTGATCTTAAACACAGAGACTAACATGAGATATGCGCAGTGAGACAGAGGACTGGATCAAGATAAAATGTTAACTTTTGGCATCAAGAACGCCAAGAAACCTCTAAATATATATTGTGTTTTGTTCAAAATAGCGTAGTGATCCTTTAATCATATAGATATGCCACGTTTTTCAAACAAATTTACTTTGATTAGTCTAGCCAAACTTTATCCGTTTTTTGGCCTTTTTGCTAGGAACGTCACTTTTTTTGGAGTCTGAGTAAAAACAGCTTGGATTCATGGAGCTTGAACTGACATTTTATTTTGACGAATTGAACTCAAAAAAGTATTTCCTTGTTTGCTTGCTTGTTCTTGTTACGAAAACTTTTATTACGGAAAACTGCTCTTTCTCGAAAAACTTTCTAAATTTGCTACTTTTCTTACCGCGAGCCTTACCCCATTTGGGAACGTTCCGCTGCCTCTGGTACCTACATCAGTTTCTTCTGCTCCCATAGGCATCAGTAATTCATCTAATCATCCGCTTACACAACCAAAATTACAATTTTATCTTAAAAACAAAGACACCCGTTCATTTCAACCTTCGTGGTGCACAGCATACAACTGGATTGAGTACTCTGTTGAACAAGATTCAGTTTACTGCTATAATTGCAGACATTTTGATGGTTCGCCTACTTTACTTTCAAGAGCTGCTTTACTTTTTTTACGTAATCTTAAAATTGAGGCACTTCTTCCTACACTGTCTGTCTTTTAACTGCTTTCGGATTCGGTGGTCTCAGTATCATAGCTTCACTGTCGTTTTCCTTAGTCTTTTCGTTAGTCACTTAGGGCTGCACTTACTATTCCAGTCAGTTCAACTACCTGTGAACGTACTTTTAGTAAATTAAAGCTTATTCAGACCATTATACGCATCAGTATGGCAGATGAACGCTTATCTAATTTGGTTATTCTAGCAGTTGAACGAAACTTTAAAATAGATTACGAAAAACTTTTAGATACTTTTGCCATGAAACACAAGAACAGCAAAATTTTGCTAAGATGAACAACTGAAAATAGTTTAGCTCGTTTGTTTGTTTTTGCTTTTTTGTATGTACGTAACAACAGAACAGCATCATTTAGGAGTAAAGCGAAGAAAAGAACAGACACTACTTTTGCAGCAGGCGAAAAACTTGAACTTACACTACCTTTGTAGCAGACAGAAAAATAGTACTTACACTGCCTCGAATGCGTTTTGGAAAAGTCTAGGGCTCAGCCCACTCACCCGAAAATTCCTGGTTCCGCCACTACTAATCAGTGAACTGAGTGGAATAAAATCACTTTCTTAAAAGATTTCTTAGCTAGTCAATAGCCATTGGTTGTTTTCTCAAAATGGGCGTGGAGAGCTGCTATTCTTATAATAAGCGTTTTATAACAGAAGTTTATTGTAATCAAAATCATGACATCGCAGTTCAAAGTATTTTTACGCAAGTTGGCTTTCCTATGGAAACGTTTACGAATAATGTTTATAACTTTTGCGAGCGGCATTTTTCTACCCTTGGTCGCTATAACCGCGTTCAAAGAGACTCTCCGTATCGTCTTTCAAGAAAGCGTCTCAAAATGGTTCTTTTTAAGAGAATAAATGGTATGTGAACTGAGACAAAAAATATGCTTATTTCGTGCACTTTTTCGTTTTTACTCGACCCAAATTCATTGGGCAAAAGCTCTGGGTTTGAACCAAAATAAGATGAGATTTCATCTCCTGTTTTCAATTTTTTCGGTTCTACCACATGTGTTCACTATTCTACATTATACAGGGCGCTGTTTTTGTGAATATCCCCGTACCTGTAGTAGAGCCGAAAAAACTGAAAACAGGAGATGAAATCTCATCTTATTTTGATTCGAACTCAGAACTTTCGTCCAATGAGTTTGGATCGAGCAAAAACGAAAAAGTGCACGAAATAAGCATATTTTTTTGTCTCAGTCCACGTATCAAAAGAAGAAGAATAAAAGTCCCGTTAAAAGATATAATTACTGAAAAGCCAGCTCGTCGCGCGATGCCTCAAATCTAGTAATCGCCTGCAAAGAAAGCCTTATGTTTTGTTAGTCAGTCCACTGGCAAATCTATCCGTATATTGGTATTCCACAGCGCCATCCCATGAAGGCAATCGCAGGAACGGGCGGAGCGAAAATGTTTTTGACCTGAAAACTGCCAATTATTCTTCAGAAAAGAATCACTGCTTACTCACATTCGTAACTTCTGGAATAACAAACAAAAAAAATTCTAACTTTCCAAAGAAATTCCTGTTAGCATTTCTGGTAGGGCACCACCCTCTACCGACTGGAATAAGTATCATCGAAAACGGAGCGTATCATCTAGTAACGTTCTCTCGTTAGAGATGCCTTTCATTACATGTTATACTCTTTCTAAGCAAAGTACAATATGGCTAGCGTTGACAGTGATTCACGTTCAGGTGCAAAATTAGATTCACGTTCACATGCAAAATTAGCTTTAGTCATTGGTAATAACAGTTATAGTAAGCATCCATTAACCAACTGTGTTAACGATGCAACTGACCTGAGTGACACGTTGCGTAAAATTGGATTTGATGTTGAACTTGGTATCGATTGCAACTATCAAAAAATGACACAGTTAGTGGAAGCGTTTGCAGATAGAATTAATGATCAAGATTTAGTTCTGTTCTACTTCTCGGGTCATGGTGTTCAATGGCAAGAGCAAAATTATCTGTTACCCGTAGATGCTGACGAAAAAGTGAAAAAAGAAATCGATCTCAAATGGAGCGCTATCAGTGCCCAACGAACAGTAGAGTTATTTTCTTCTCAAACATTTTATGTAACAGTATTCATATTGGACTGTTGCAGAAAATATTTGGTAGAAAATCAATTAAAATTTAGAGATTTCCAGGGAGGAGCAGGATTACATTTGATGAAAGCACCTGGTGGTTCTCTTATTCAATTTGCTTGTGACGCTGGCGCTCTAGCATCGGATGGATGTGGAATAACAGATCGAAATGGATTGTATACAAAACATTTACTGCAACATATAGCTACTCCAAATAAAGAACTTGATAAAATATTTTCGGCAGCTGCTGCTGGTGTTTATCGGGAGAGTAATCGGAAACAACAGCCATTTCGTGTTAGTTCCATTATGGTAGATGAACCCATCTATTTACATACAGAGAACAAAATAATTTACGAAAACTTAGGAGACTCATTACCAACCATGAAACCAGAAACTGTACGTGAAGTGGTAGCTGTATTAGTTTCTTCACAGAGCACTTTTTTTCTTTCTTCATAGTTGCCAAAAAACAATAATACTGACATGTCATCATTGAAGTACAAGTCGATTAAATCCAATTTGAAAACAACACCAGAAATTGGAAATATGACGCTGGGTGAGTTTGTTGCTTATACTGAGTTTTTACTGCACACCATCTCAAATCGATTTAGTGCGAGAAAAATGGCTTGTTTTGCTTTCTGTTTCGTTCTTATTGCTTCTAAGCCTAAAACACATAAGTATATTCTATTACATTTTAGTTTAACAATATCTTTTTTCGCTTTCTGTTTTACGTGGAACATAATCAGTAGAGAGGTTGATGACTTCCTTCATGTAACAGTGGATCTAGCTGAGCTTTTCATTAAACAGTAGATTTTACCTGGGTGATGTTAAAAAAAGAAAAGATATTACATGTTCTGATCGAGTGAGTGAAGTAAATTTTTGATTTTCAGATGATTAAGTAGTGGGCACACCACAATGACACCGTTTATCAGTTGGCATATCTAGCAAAAAGAGGAGAAGGAAAGAATACTCTCAGATTCGTCATCTTGAGAGATCACCGCCAGTTAATCATCAATCTAATGTACAAACACAAGAACAAAGAAAGAAAAAATTAAAATTGCTCTCTCGAGGCATAATAATACTGAAATCTGTCGAAAATTCATTTTAGTGGGTGAAAAGTTCTATCTACAGATAACCCATAAAATCTTACTACAAGCTTCTTGCTGAAGCTTTGGTCAACCACCTTATTTGTTCAGTTCGCCTTTTCGAACCATGTATTGGAAAGTTATGTAGACTGTGTTAAATAAGAAATGTGACTCCATTTCCCATGTAATATGACGCGCTGCCATATTCATTCCTTTGACTCATCTGCCAACCATTGCAAAAAACAACTTCTAAGTTTTTAACTTTAGTTTCAATTTTAATCAATAATGAGGAATACGAACTTTTTTCCCGAAATATGGTTCAAACATTTTTATAACTTCACATTATATAAGAGAGATAAATAAGAAGGAGACGTTCTGTAATGGTTGGCAGATGAGTCAAAAGAATGAATATGGCAGCATGTTATGTTATACGAGAAATGGTGCACTTCCGACAGATTTCAGTATTGTTATGTTCAATTCCTTCTTAAAACGGACATGTACTTGGAAGTTTTCACAAAATAGGAATGGAGAGGGTGAGTTGAAAGAGATCCAAACCCTCTCTCTGCGTCGCATGGAAAAAATAAAAGTTTTCGCTTGTTTTACTTTCTAAAGAGCTTATCTTGTTTGAAAAAGTGGTTGCACGAA